GCTTTTTTATAATGTGAATGAAAACCCTAACCCCTTCCCCCCCAAAATCTATACCCTAAATGCCCAATAGTTAACCAAAACTCAAAAATTTACAGTCGTTTGTATCTTTTATCAAAACGTTTTTGATTTTTTTTCTCCTTTTGAGTTTTTCTGAGAATATTATTCTTCTTCTTTTTTTCATATATCCACAAGATCTGTGACCAAAAAAAAAAAAATCTACCAGATCCAATTTTACAATTTCGAGATCTGATTCAGAGAGAAGAAACAACTTATGTGATATAAACATCAAATCTGATCTGATTTTTGAGAGAAGAAGAAAAAAGTTATGAATGAGAGAAAATAAAAAAGGATACAAAGTTACGAGAGAAAGAGAAAGGACAAAAAGTTTTGAGAGAAAAAAAAGATAAAAAACTGTTATTGATTTAAAGAGAATAAGAAAAAATGACAGTTTATAATGAGGATAATCTGGGAATAAGCACAAAAAAGGATGGCACCCTTGTAAAAATTGCAAAAAGATGGTATTTTTGTAAAGTGGCATGGAACATGTGGCATTTTTTAAAAATTTCTCTTTTATTAAAGCTTTTATTTTGTAATTTTTTATTTTAAAATCACAATTACTTATATAAAAAAAAATTATATAGGATATTGTTGGATTGGATAAATAAAATATATATTTCTATACATTTATTACAGAAAAATTATATTGTAATTTACATAAAAACTACATAAATATACACAAAACATCTAACTGTAATTTATTAGAATTAATTTATATTAGAATTGAATATTAAATTGTTAGAATTAATTGTTAAGTTATTAAAAAATATTTAATTTTTTTTAATAAATAAATTAAAAAGATAAGTGTCAAGTATGACAACTTCTAGTTTCGAAAAGTTTTACTATATTATATAAGATATTTGGGCAGGTGAATTATTATCATGGGTTCCTGATCACTTGGGGCCACAAAACTAATCATGATTTTATTTTTAATGAACAATAATCGTTTTGTTCTTCAACACTTGCTCACTCGTTCCTCTACAAATAGAGGCTAAAGAACTCATAAGAGAACTCACTCTTCTCCTAAAATCCTAACGTTTTATTTCATTAAGCAAGCAAAGAAAATGGCAGAAGCGTCTAGTTTGATCGGGAAGCTTGAGACAGAAGTGGAACTCAAAGCTTCTGCTGGAAAGTTTCATCACATGTTCGCAGGGAGACCACACCATGTCTCCAAAGCAACTCCAGGCAAGATTCAGAGTTGTGAGCTGCACGAAGGCGATTGGGGCAAAGTCGGTTCAATTGTCTTTTGGAACTACGTTCATGGCAAGTGAACGTTTATATACATCCTTTTTTTTTTAGTTTGGTAACTAATGGATTCTATACCGAAATTCAAACTAATTTCGAAAATATTTACATAAATTTTCGTAGTAACCAAAAATGTGCGGAAATCGATCTCAAATCTTGATTAAAAAGACGATGATCACAT